CACACACACACACACACACACACACACACACACACACAGATAAATAAGTTAGTTATATTTTTCATGTACTTCTCTACGTTAAAAATCAATAGTTAAAATTAGAAGCAAAATCAAGCCAAAATACAAACAACCCCCTCTCCAACAAACCACCAAATAGAAAAAAAAAACACAACTTTAACAGGATGGAAATAATGAGGTGGAATTTACCAATTCATTTAGTTTTACTGCCTGATTTTTATTTGTTGGTTTATTCTCTGGTTTCTTTCTTCCACCTAAGGAATTAAATGGATCAAGGAGGGCTTAGGATTCCGTTTTTTGGGGACTCCTGGGTTTGGGTCAGAGGAAGTCATGGAAATCCATCAGTCAACATGCTTCTCGTATTAAAACGTCCCCGGAGGTGTGGATGGACATAGGAACAGTGATGCGGGCCATCCTGAATTCTCAAGCGGAGAGAACCTTGTGGGCCCCGCGAACGCCTGGCCTGGCTCAGAAAGCGACAGAATCCCGAGTCTCCAGGCCAGATTTTCCCTCTAGCCATTCCCGGCCACGCAAAGCAAAGCTGAGAGCGCACAGAAAAGGGGATGTCTTCATCGCCAACCGGGATGGAACAAACCCGCCAGCTCGGGGAGCGCTGAGACCCAAGGGTCCCTCCGGCGCCGGCAGCCTTCGCTAACATGACTTGACTGCCCTCCCAGCCCATCCTCAGCCCCATCCCGCGCGCTCCGCGCTCTCCGGGCGCCCCCACCCTTTCCGGGTGCGCGCGCACGACCGGCCGGCCGGGGAGCTGTGCGCCCGGAGCCTACGGGCGGCGGCGGCGCGGCTCGCGCGCAGACCGGGTGCCCAGGGGCGGAGGAGGAGGAGCAGCGGCCGCGCCCCGCCTTCCGTCGCCACCTGCGCGTCCCCTCCCGGCTCCCCAGCCTCCGGGCGGTGAGAGCTCGCGGTGCCGCAGCGGCGGAGTCACTGCGTCCGCCGGTTTGGGGACACTAGGCGCTGGGCTCCGGGGGCGCAGGACGAGCGGTGGGTGCGCCCGCGCGCGTCGCTGCCCGGCGCGCTTTTCCGCAACGGTTTTGGGAAGGCAGAGGTGGGTGGGGGCGATAGAAAACTGCTGTGACTTTTGAGGTCCGACTCCTCCTTCCGGCCAGCCTCGGGACGCGCCCGCTCGGAGACAGGCCCCGGAGGCTCGCTGCGCGGCGTGGGGACTTGGAACGCGTCCCGGAGCCGGGGCGCGGAGCGCTCTGGTGAGTTTGTGGGTGGCGGAGAGGACACCTCGCGCCCCCCACCCTTGCACCCCGTGCTGCCCCCACTTGGAGAGTAATTCAGACTTGAGCGTGACTGCGGAGCGCTTTGCCTAGCGTGCGTGATGGAGTGGGCCGGTGGGCGGAACAAAGGCAAGCGCCCCGAGGAGCGGGTCCTCGCCTGAAGAGCGCGCAGCGACGGCCGGCCGGAGGGTGGTGGCCGTGAGAGACCCGGGAGTGGCGCGCTCCCCTGCGCCGGGCAACTGCGCGCGGGGCTCCCGGGGCAGCCCGGCCGGGCCGCCCAAGGTCCGGGGCGAACCCCTTGCCGGTGCACAGCGGATGCCCCCGGCCTTTCGCCGCGACGTCTGGAAGGGGCTGCGCGCCGTCGACCCAGCAAGTGTCTCGGCGGGCGAGCACTTCTGCAGCCCCGAGGCTTCCACGTGAGCGTTTGCGCTCTCTCCTCCGCCGGGGCCTCCCAGCCGTCCCTGCTGCCTGAGCGTCCGCGTGGGGAGCCAGCAGCGGCGGGAATCGTCGGCCACCGTCAGGTGTCTGAGGCTCCCACGGCCCCGGCTGCCCCGCGCCTCGCCGGAGCCTGAAGAGTCGCGGGTCCGGGGCGAGGGCCGGCCGGGTTGTTTGATGGCTTCACTGAGAAGAGTCAAAGTGCTGCTGGTGTTGAACTTGATCGCCGTGGCCGGCTTCGTGCTCTTCCTGGCCAAGTGCCGGCCCATCGCTGTGCGCAGCGGAGACGCCTTCCACGAGATCCGACCGCGCGCCGAGGCCGCCAACCTCAGCGCGCACAGCGCCAGCCCCATCCAGGATGCGGTCCTGAAGCGGCTCTCGCTGCTCGAGGACATCGTCTACCGGCAGCTGAATGGTAGGGACGCACGCTGGCGCTCCAGGGTCCCCTAGTGAGCGGCTGGGGCGCGGGTGGCTTCCCGCGCTCTTCCTCTTACCTTCCCGGGCCTGGGTCGGGCAGGAGGCCCGGGCTGCTGGAAAGAAAACTACCTGCTTCTTTTTCCCGTCCCAGCTCTAAGTTTGGTTTTAGCCTGGAAACATGTCGGTACATTTGGCTGTCCATCCCAGCGTGCCAGGCAGGAAATTATTCCCTGGGGAGTCCAGCCAGAAGGCAGAAACTAGAGGAATGGCCAGAAGGGACTGAGGGCTGGACCGAGGTCTAGGGAGGAAAAGGGAGGCGGGAGATGGGTGGGTTTAAGTGTCTGCCGTCAAGGGCCCAGGTCCAGGAGCTGATGTGCTTCTGTATCGAGTTGAATGAATGTATTACGTGTCTGTGAGGCTGCACAGCTAGTAACGAAAGCTTCCCGTCCCGCTGCCTTGGCGGAGGCTAGTGTTTAAAACCATACCCGCTTCTCTCTAGAGGTGCAAAGGGGCAATTATTAAAGTTCACAGGGAGCCGGGGAAATGGGGAGCTCAGGGAGTGTAGCAAAGGGAGGTGTGGCATCCAGCTAGGGAAAGTTGTCAGAATCAGCCCCATTTAAGGCGTCCTCAGTGGTTTAGGGAAAGAGGGGGACTTCTGATGTACTCTGGTTACACCTGGCCCCGGGGACAGGGGGACACTTGGTGTCCCAAGGTGTTAGCTTCTGGAGCACAGGCAGCGCTGAAGGATCCTGCAGGGCTTAAGTACAGGCTGCCTACTTGCTTCCTGAGCTTCTAACTCATGTTATTACATGTTCCTTCCACAACTGCAGATAATCATAGAGATAATGATAATAAATAACTGATGGAATTCCTGCTTCGTTCCAGGTGCTGGGGGAAGGCATCACAGTTGCATTATCTCACAGATTGTTCTCCTCAATCCAAAGAGGTTCCACCCTGTCCCCAGATGGGAAATGAGAAAACAAGGCAGGAAGAGGCTGAGTTGCCTGGTGCCCTACTACTAGGAAGTAGTAGAGTTTGCAGTCGGAGCCCCCTGCCTGGCTGACCACAGAGCTGTGTTCTTGGCCACTGAGTAGACTTCTGTCTCTGGTTTCCTCCTCGTTATATGGTGTATTAGGTTTGTTGAAAAAAGTATGTGGAGCTGCAATTACAGCTGTAACCTGTGTGCAGTTGGGAGCCAGACTTCACTGTCTTCGCTGTGGTGAGAGTTAGAGACCAGCCTGGTGGCAGGTGGTGGGGGTCAGGGAGAAGGGTGACACCAGACTGTTCTCTGATGGCTCCTTCTGGGTGATCCCAGGGGATGTAGTCAGGTCTGTACACATGAAAGGACATAGTGGCCTTTTTGGCATTGTTAGGCACCCAGGGGTTGCCCGGAGCTGGCATCTGCAGTGGGATGTGGTAGTCCTGTCCCTGTCGTTCATAGGTAGTATGCCCAGGTGATTAGAGTGGCCCGCTGAGGTCACACAGAAGGTCTTCTCCTGAGTATCTAAAAACAAAATGAGCAGAAGGCAGCAAAGCCCCACAGTCCATTGCTGGAGGATTTAGAAGCCTTGCAGAGTGGGCCTTATTATTCTGCAGATAGCTGCCACAGACACATCCACAGGGCCCAGAGAATAGCTTGAGTTCCGTGAACATTACATATGTTGCAGCCACAAGCATCCCAGTAGGAAATACTAAAATTCTACCTGGTATTTTTTGAACGTGGCAGGCATGCATGAACCCAGTTCGTCTTTGTGACAACCTATGAGATAGGTACTCTTGCTTACCCCTGAATGATTTGCTCCCAGTCACCCAGCTAGTGAATGGCAGGGCTTGGAATTGACCCTGGACCATCCGAACCCAGGATGGGGGCTCTTAGCTGCTGGCCCAAGCTGTCCCCATCTGTGACAAGCATAAGAAATTGCTTGAGGGGCCCGGAAGACACAGATTTCTGGGTGGCATATCCCAGAAGGTCTGGAGTAGAGCCTGGGAATTGGCCTCGGACAAGCTGGTGGCTGGAATCTTTGTGCCTGGCATTCTCCTGCCTACACCAAGCCGAGCAGGACTCATTCTCCTCCAGAGCCAGCTGGTTGGAGGGACTTCTGGGAAGCAGAGACTTGCTTCCCAAGGCTGAGGGTCAGCTTTCTTTCTTTGTGACCATCTGCTACGGAAACAGTTTCCAGACTGGTTGAGTCTGGGGCTGTGAGGTGGGAAGGCTGAGATTTCTTACCTTGCAGCCTCTAGTTGGCAGGAAGGCTCCGCTGTCAGCTCCTCTTGGGCACGATAGAGTGCAAGGTGGGGCTTGGCAGATGTTATCTTTCTGGCCACTGCAAGTGTAGTTTGTAGAGACGTGAAACTGGGAGGAGAAGAGCAGAGGAAGTTTGGAAATGGAGAAGACCCTCCCTTTCTCCACCTGCCCTCAAGCACCTGATCCTTTGCCTGCTCTTGTTTTGGGTAGCGCGTGGTGTGTCCCATCTGTTGATGCTTGAATCCTGCTGGGATATTTCATGGCAACAGGAGACTGAGTGAAGGGTGAGAGGGCTCCCCTCCCAGTGCTGTCTCACTGATGGTACAGGTTTTCTTGGGTACCTGTGAATAGCCACCCCGAGAGCTTGGGGTGACCCAGACTCCCCTGTACTGTCTTCTCTGCTAAGAGTTGTTGTCATGGTCCTGAATCCTGCCTTTTGAAAAGCAGCTACTAGTTTTGTTTTGCTTTCTTAGTGTAGCTGTGAAGGACACTTTAAAGAGCAAGTGGAGATGCTGGCATAGAGAAGTACACTGGGCTGAATTAGTTTTTTCTCCTCCAGAATTTCTCCTGCCACTGCTCTACCATTCTTTCCATTAGGCCTCCCACTGATGGCTGCTGTCTCTGGCTGGTATTTCCTGTACTGAGCCATTGTGGTACTGACCTGTAACCAAGTGCCAGCTTCCTGTCTCCTCCATTCTGCTGATCATGCTATGGCTCCAGCTCTCTGAGTGAAAAACTACTACTCCCAGAGGCCCCGCATCCTTCAGTGGCTTCCTGTGTCCTAAAGGATCATGGTTCAGCCTGCAGGCCAGGGTCAGGGCCTGCCTAGCCCGCTTCAGCAGGCATATCCTGTGTTCTCACTTTCACCCAGCCCTGTGCCTTTGCCTCCTCCAGCCAGACTCATGTACTTGCAGAAATACCTCAGTACCTTTAGCCTCCACATTGCAGCCCCAGTCTTTGAGAAGTGCTGGTTGTCCTGATTTTCTTTGCTCTCCTCATCCATTTCCCCATTCTGTCCATCCTTTCAGGCTTGGCACAAGGTCACTGCCTGGGGGTGGGGCTTATAGCAGGTTACTGGGCTGAGGTTTTGCTGTCCCAGTTACCAGTGGCCCTGTGCAGCCCTGGCCTGCACTCTTGGGTTTGTTCCTTTATTTAATGGTACTGAGTATTGAACCCAAGGCCTTTGCACTGAGTTACATCCCTGGCCCTTTTAAAATTTTTTATTTTGAGACAGTGTCTCACTAAATTACTTAGTTGACCAGGCTGGGCTTGAACTTGTGATCCTCTTACCTCAGCCTCTCAGAGAGCTGGGATGACAAGCATGCGCCACCATGCCCAGCTGGGTTTATCTTTTGAGTTCATAAATGGACTGTAGGCCTTTTAAGGGCTGGGACCATATTATAGATGTTTAACTTCTACCTCCATTCCTCAGCATCTGCCATAGCACTTGGCTCATAATGTGGACATTTAAAGGTTTCTTGATTGACTAATTGATGGGCCTAGTTTTCAGAGGTAAATGATAGCCACCAAGGAAATAACCTCAGGATTGTAAAAACTTGGTTGGGTTAAATGATGTGGTGAAGGGAGGGGCGGGAAAGACTTAGCTGTGAAGTGCAAGATGAGGATGCCATCTTGACTCTGCCGCCATCTTGACTCTGACTCTGCCCTCTCACCCCGACCATCATGCTCTAGCCATCCTTCCTGTGCCATCTTGAGGGTGGTCTAGTCTCTGCCCTTCTGACTGAAGGGAACTAGATCCTTGGGAGACCTTGAAGTGAAGCAGTCTGCCAGGTTAGGCACCAGCAAGTCCGAAAGTTTTCTTTGAATATGTGATTTTATAACATGAATACGGTTTTATATCCTTTTTTTGTAGCCTAAAATTAATTCATGTTTTTTATGGAAAATTTGGAAAATCTAGAAACTAATTATCCAGAGCAAAGTGAAATTCTAAAAATAGTGTTTAAAATGGTAGCGTGGTGGTGGTTTTGTACCAGCATTATAGATCCAGGCAGATTTTTTTTGTTGTTGTTCCTGGAATTCGCCAGATGACTCTGTGCATGACTTTTGGCTTTCTATCACCTCTCCCGTCACCTTCTGAGGAAGTTATTTATTTCTCTCATTTTAGAAATGAGAAAGGTGAGAAACAGATAAGGTGTGATTCAGCCAGGGCAACACAGTCTGGGAAGGGCAGAGCCTTCCCCCTGAGGTCCAGCGCCCACCCGGCTAAGTAGGGGGAGAGTTGAAGGGTGAAGACCTTGTGCACCCTGGTGGTGACCCCACCCTCCTCAGAGTCCCAGAGAAGTGTGCAGTGGAGCGGAAGGGCCCACGACAGCACTGTGTCCCAATGAGCCCAGGGCAGCCCTGCTGCAAGAGGAAATGCAATCAATTTAAGTTTGGTTCCGGATTTAGATTTCAGAAGGATATTGAATAGAAGCAGAGTTGCTTGAAGAAATTGAAAAATCTTTATAGAAATGGAGAGAAGTCAAAATTACCTATCCTAGTCCTGCCTCTAAGCCACATGGGCACATAAAGGTGCAGTTGAGAACCCAAATGTTCCCGCTGACCCAAGAGGGAGAGGTTTATGCTCACAGTCACCAGAGTGGAGCCAGAAGGAGAGGCATGGCAGAGCCTGCCTGTTGCTGGTTCCCCTTTGCTGCTGGGATGCAGACATGTCTTGTGTAGACCGCTGATGCTGATGGTACAGCATTTCCTGTGGGCAGGAGGTAAGAGGGAGAGAGAGGGCCAATGTTCAT